GTATTTGTGTATTTCCTTTTTAATCAATTTGTACTTAACATCAGTCCAGAGGGACATATTGTAACGTGTACTTCACAACATTTATCTTGCAGGTGAAGTTGCTACCTTGCTGGTTTCTGCTAGACTAAATATTTTGTTGACGTTACGTTTATATTGAGAGTAAAATCATGCTTAAGTATTCATTATACCACATAGGTTGCAAAGTTAAAGTTAAATTCAGTACTTTTACTACTTTGCCTTGTTGTACTGATACTTCTATTTAGTAAAAGGATCTAAATACTTCTCAAAAGTGGAAATTTTGATGATTAATAAAACTGAAGAAGCTCCACTTATGGTTTGTGTGGCAGAAGTCAGAGTTTGCTGTCTCAGTAGTTTTGATCCATCCTGCAGGTCTGTTTCTGTCATCAACAAGGCAACTTCCTTTAGTGCTGTTTTTTCAATACTTCTGCATGTAAACCTCTGACTTCAACAAGTTGTCATGTTTACTTTTGGATCACTCCTGCTTACATACAAATGACACCCAGCTCAGTGTTGCATTAGGAATCATCTAGGGTGCTCACCTCTCTCACTGAAACCAACTGCTCAGCATTTTCCTGCTCTCTGCTGTCTGTCTGCAGCAGGGTGACCTCTGGTTCGAGTGGGTGGGGCCCCGCGCGTTCTAAACATACTGGACGACCATCTGAAATGTTAGCCTGTCGCCTCTGAGAGCACAGTGTGTTGTAACTCAACACTTTCTCTCTCTTTCTCTCTCTCTCTCTCTCTCTCTCTCTCTCGCTCTTTCGCTCTCTCTCTCTCTCTCTCCCTCTCTCTCACACACAGACACACGCTCAAAGCATACTTTTTGGCTCTGGAGTTTGTTGAATTGTAATTGACTGCTGAAGTGTTTCAAAAGGGGAAAAAGGTCACATGTGCTGTTTAAAGGAGGCTTAAAGGGTGGGGGAGGCAGAGTTTTAGCAACAGATCAGACTTTAAATCAATGGGAGGAGTGCTAGCAAAAGACTGTAATTTGCGAGTGTGTGTGTGCATGGCAGATACATGGTCTGAATGTTATCTCTGTGGGGGGTTGACTTTGGGTTTTGACATATATTCTATTAATGCGGCAGGATTATATTATCAGAAGTCTTACAAAGCTTGCTGAATCACAATGACAAATCTGACAGTATCCTTCATGCATTGGGAAACGGGTAGCCAGAACATGAGCGGTTTTGATTGAATTATTTTTCGTTATTATTTTAAACACATTTTCATTTCATTTTCAAACCCTGTTTTCAGACGATAACGCTACTGACATCAGTAGCTAACTTCAAGCAGCCTGCTCCCAATGTGTCAGTTGGAGAGTTATTAAGAGCTGTCAGATTAAATTAAATTATACATATAAAATATATATTATGTCTGAGCGTGGGGATGCATTTTCATTTTTTTAAGGGTGGAGAGATCCACCAGTAAGTGGATGATACCGTAGATTAATCTGGTGTGTTGCCTACTGGGCTAGAAGTGCAGTTTTCGGTGGAATAATAACCCAGTGGCCTTAATCCGGCTCCATAACCGCGGGTGGGGGGATTCCAATGCTGCTCTCCCACTCTTCATACCTTCCTTTTGGGCACCAGCATACATCTTTCTAAAGTATTTGTGATGCATGTTAAAATGATCCCAGTCTGATTCTGAGTAGATTTCTTACTAAAAGTGATAAGAGAAACCTATGATAGGGTTTGGGGCCCGTTTACTCAACTGTTAGGTGATGTTAATGTGTCAAACATGCTAAGAAATAACAATGGGCCCGATCTGGTTGAAATGAGAGAAATCTAGTTGAATGGAAAAGTAAAGTACTTCTTAAACTGCTGTGACTATGTACACTTTTTAGGATAATGTTGCTACTGCCCAATTTTATTTTATTTTTAAATTTCATTTCATTAATGTCTCTTATTTTTATTATATATTTTACATTTCAATTTCATTTAATTTTTGTAATGATGTCCTGTCTTGTCTTTGTCTCTGTTTTTCACATCATTTGTTTTATTTTAATGTTTTGTTGTCGTAAGTATTTGTAAGGTATGGTGTGTCTTGTTGTTTAAAAGAAAGAAAAATGAATAAAGATATTGTTTAAAAAAAAAAAAAGAGATAAGAAACAAGGATTTCATAAAGAAGATCAAAATGTGCTCCTTTAATCCGTCTGCCACGGCAGGATCAGTATCGAGGGGTGGGGGATCATCGTATTGTGGAAGACCAGTGTCCCCCCTCGACCAAGTTGAAATCACTCATGGGTGCCTTGGCATCAGGTAGCTGCAGGCCTTTGATGACGCTCAGCATGCAGAACCACCCCCCATGGGACCCTATACTTCAACATGCCCTGCTGGGTCTGCAGTGTCCGCCTGCATCTGCCTCTGAGGGGGAGAATCTGATGTTATCTGGCACTTCTGTGCCATACTGTACATGTGTGTCACACACTTGGTCAACCACAACACATCCTTTAATAAGCCCTGCAGTCAGCGACTTGGCATGTGGGCTGACTATTAAGCAAATGACCCGCATGCTTCATGCTTGAGTCACTTGGAGCTGCACTGAAACATTTGTGACAGAGCTGCCACTGGTAGCATTTGCTTACCTGGAGGATTTAAAAGTGATCTAACAAATGATCCTAGGGTTAGGGTTATCATGTAAACAATGTAGATTTAATTACAAAACTAGTTAAAATCAAAAAACTAGTTTTTAATCGAATATTGTTTCAGTCATTTGTCTCTGCTTCCAGCTCAGTGTTTGTGGCTTTTTTTGTCAAATTACAGTAAAAATATATATTTTCAGAGATCTGCTTGTTTCGACAAAACAAGTATTAGAAGTAGCTTGAAAAAAGGTGATTGAAAAAAGTCCTCAAAGGAGTATTGTCTTATTGATAGACCTTAATCATTTATTTCAAATGCAGCACCCACTGCAATAAACATATTCATGGTTTTTACACAAGGTGCAATGATATTTAGTTTTTTAAATGAGCATCTCTAACAGTCCTAATTAGTAATGTTGCCCCTAAAACATTGTACAAATACACATTTGTTTGCAATTTCTTGAAATTATAAATAAAGTATTTCTACAACCAAATATGGATGACATAGCTTGTGTTTTACAAGTAAGGTACAAACTGCTCAGAAGGACAGATTTCTCGAGAGATTAAAGAGATTATTTCCAAAACAGAATGGGAGAACTGAAGTCTAATGTACTTTGATTTATTGAGAGGGAGATCTTATTGTTGTGATGGGGGAGGGATGTAATGAAACACAGTATAACAGGAAAACACGAATGAAATAAAGTACATTTTTTAATCAAACACATTTTATATAAGACTTTATGAATGAAATCCTAAATGTAGCAACCTCGAAACAGTTCCCCCATTGTCTTGTTAAGCAACCCTGGCACACCATACAGCATACTGTACATTCATAATACGACAGAATGATTAAGAGCCATCAAACCACTGCTGCAGCTCTCACTCAGTAGATGTAGTTTCTCCTGCTGCAGAGTCTAGACTGTACACATTCCATAGCTGCATGTTTTGTCTCTTCGTTTAGTGTGTGTCTGTGTGTGTTTGCTTCTGTCTCTCTCTTTCCGGTCTTGTATCTGTTGTCCCTTTGTTCTCCGTAGGGATACATCTGGTCTTTGTCTTTGTCCATTCCTCATTCTTCGCAGGGCTGTTTGCTCTCTATTTGTTGTTTTAACTCTCCCACGTTTTCCTTTCATCTTTGACATCTCCACTTTGTAGCAACACTGAAATATGAAGTTTTTTTTTTAATTACGCCTGGTCAGTACCTTTTGATCATACCTCCTAGTCTACCCACAGGAAGTCTTAGATGTGGGCACCCTTCTGTCTGATATATCATAGCTCCTCACTCTGTTCTGCAGTGTGGAGGGCCCGGTTAGAGGAGGGGTCCCTGCTGCTGTCGTTGTCTTCTCTGATTGACACCCAGTCACAGTGGTTGTCAGAGGCCCAGATTCAGATTCAGGGTCTGAACCCATACGTGGCCCACCCACCCGCTCTCTGCTGTCCCTGATCATAATGAGTACAGTTACTTTCCTGGAAAGAAAGAAAATCTGTTCTCAATTCCTACCTTTTCATTTTAAACTTACAGAAGAGGTTTTTTCCTGGGCTTTTCATACAGCTCTCCAGGCGTGCTATTATCGGTGACTCGGCTCGGTGTGTGTGTGACACTTTGGTGCAGTGTTTCAGTGGCCCTGTATTAGTTACTGAGTGAAGGTGATGCCCACCTTTGTCTCTGTGCCAGGAGACGCCTGCAGGAGGAATCTGCTGACGGTTGAAGGACTGGAGTGGGGCCGATATATAGAAGCGCTAGAGTCCTATGTTAGAAAAGAAAAATGTGATCCTCTATTTCTTTGGAGCTGTTACTTTATTGTTATAGAATTTCTGCTTTGGGGAATTCCCTCCCTGGTTTGGAGAATAATCCTACATAACTCAGTGCCATATATATGACCCTTTTGTCCTTGGTTCCGGCAGCTGCATATGCTGAGTGCGGCTTCCCCAACCTGGCCTCTCTGTTAAGTCCACAGCCATAAGAGCTATTTACTCAACAGAGTCAGTGGGACATTGAATCCTAAATCTCTTCTCTTCCTCACGCTCCACTGGCCCAATTATGAACCAAATCACAGCAGCACCTACCACTAGGAAATGCTAGATGGTAGCAATCTGTGCCCAAGTGAATGACAGAAGGAATGAATGAAGAAGCCACGCAAGGAATTAAAAAAATGTAAAAGTTTGAAAGGAGTTTCATAAAAAAAAGTTGCTTTGGTTTCAATGTGCATATTTTAGTGTCCGAAAAGCTGTTTCTGAGGCAGACAATGGGAAATGTCCTGCTGTGAGAAGTGCAGCTGCATCTTACAGAGTGGGAACATGTTCTGACTGTTAAATTGTATCAATGCTAACCATTTTATTTCTTCTCTCCCCTGTTTCTTTTCTGGGTTTCTCCTTTTTATGATGGATTGCACCTTTCGTTCAACAGGAAACAATCCAAGGTAAGTTGTGTGTGTCTGTTGCTACAAAAAAAAAGAAGCTGGCCAGCATCAACAGAGCTGACATGCAGTGTCAGCAGGAACAGTAATCTGTAGTGACTTTCACTGACTGTCCTGGCATCACATATACTGAAATCCTCCAGAAGCAGGATGCTGCACAGGCAACCTTATCCTCTTGAGGGGAGGAGAAGCATCCTGTACAGGTCCTACTGTTGTGCCGTTGTTTCTAGGGACATGATTGAGAGTGTTTTAGTAGTTTGGTGGGTCAGCAGGAGCCGGATAGATGTCCGTGTGAATGTGTCAGCGCTCTAAGATCTCGTGAACACCCATAAAAGCTCTACAATAAGAGAGGGATGAGCGCGGACACTGGGGCAGTGTGTGTGCGCATTCAAAGCTGCATTGTTGAAGTGCACCCCCACCTCCCCCCTTGACAACACGCTGGTGACTAGCTCAGAGATGTTTCACACACCAGGGCCAGGCTTTGTACTCAGTGCACTCGGCCGCTGATGGGACCTGATGAGAGCAGGGTCTCTGGGGCCCGTGAACCTCAGCTGCCCTTCAGCTAGACCGTGGCTGTCTGCTAAGTTGTAGTGGCACTCAAATTAAACTCCCTGCTTTGTAAATGGGAAACTGAGGTTGCCGTCTAATCACGTTCGACCACATTTTATCCCAGAAATGACAAAAAGGGCATTATGTCCCTCCGCTTCATCATTATTTGTACTACTGATTAATAGTAATGGTCCAATCATGAACAATTTGTTGCACAGTCACACCCTGAGGCTGGACGGTTACAGAGCAGAGCAGATTTAAGCCCTAGTTACCAAACCAGCCCTAATTGAGAATGATGGCCCTTTTTGTTCCTTTGAATGGCACCCACTCACTTGTCTGAAGTCACAAGAGGAGGTCTTGCTTTCAAAGTATTCAGGGATCTCAGTGCTTCCCATGCTGACTGTGCAACCAGTAGTTCCCTGGCCAATAGCCCTTATTATGATTTGAAGGGAACACGATTATTTGGGGTATTTGTGCAGGGAAAGTGCTTTGGCAGAGCTGCAGTCGTGCACTGAAAGCCACGAGTAGTAACACGCAGCACTGTTGTGCTTGCACAGCAGGATGACAGGACTGCAGCAATTGTTTCTGCATTTCAGAGGAAATCTTTATAAAAGGAGCTTAGCTGGCATAAAATAATATTATTGTTTTATCCAAAAAGTTGCAGAGAAGCAGCATAGATAGAAACAGATATGTGATTATAAGATTGTCAATATTCCTTACTGTTACATTCATTATTTAGTCCTAGAAACAACCTTAATATAACCTTAAAACATAATTGAGACCCACTCTCTGTAACTTTAGATGTAATGGTAGATAGAGTAAGGCAAAGGGATGGAGCAGCAATCATAAAAGCTCTGTTACCTTGTTCAGTATGGAATTTAGAAAGTTACATATCCCCTATCAACATACACTGTTAGTGTATTAAAACAAACTATATATGCACCATTTTCATACTAATGGAAACTAAAGGATTTTGATAATTGGGTATTTCCAACATAGGCAGTAACAGGAGTAGTTCTGTCTGTGAGGAGTCGGGGTCCTTGCTAAATGAGGCCATGCTCTTTCCCAGAGACCATCCTCTCTGTGTGTTCTCCTCTCATAGCTCATGCAGGTGCCGGGGGGACACAAGGGGTCTCTGCTGCTGAGAGCCAGCCTGCACCACCGGGAACTGCCACGGCCCCGTTTCCTTGGAGACGGGGGTCACTGGGTGCTGGAATTTCTTCTGGGGAGCGCTGACCCTGATTTATGAATTCATTTAACTCCAGCCACTATGAAATAACTCGGCGATTTGTGCAGACAGTCATGGCGCGGTCTTAACGAGCATCACCTTGCCAACAATACTCCGTTAGACTTCATCTTACTCACTCAGACAGCCCCCGTCCTGCTGATTTACTGCAGGGTGGCGTGGTTCGCCACAATAAGCCTGTCTTTGTACCACAAAATAAGTAAGGCCACTCAGGTTGTTTTTGTGCTGTACATGCTTGGACAAGTGTGAGAAGTGTGTGTTTATACTCTTTGTGCTGACTTCCCTGCAGGTGTTTGCTTTTGACCACTGTTTCTGGTCCATGGATGAATCCAACGTTCCCAAATATGCTGGTGAGTCATAAATGCTGAATCTGATACTCCACTCATCGCCAAAGAACTCAAATGAAATCCCCTTCAAAGACCTGCTTAGCTTTGTGCAGCAATAGCGCAGGGAAACTCCCTACTTGATGGTCATGTTTTTTGCATAAAGCAAAGCAAAGCATTGTGTACTGTAGGTATATATGGTAATTTGCATTTTGAGAGAATACATACAAATATCCAAGTTAATTGTCTCAAAAGAATGAAACCATCATGGTGTTTTGTACTATACATACAAAAACATACATGTATTTGTAACATGAAGAGTAAAAAAAAGCATTTCCTATTGTGCTTCTGTAATTGAGTAATTACAATTCTAATGAGTTTTGAATGGAAAAGGTTACAGCTCCATTTTTAGGTTTAGGTGAGGTAATTATGTCCATGCTGAAGTAGATTTACATAATCATTGTACATAATTTCCTTATATTGCTCTCATTTTGTGATGGAAATGCTTACATCTGCTTTGTGCTGAACAGACAAGGCAATCTGTTCAGTGAAGGGCCGCCTCAAGGCCCAGGCCCAGGCTTTATATAGCTCGTTAAACAGCTGTCCCATTCAGCAGAAGCACGACAGCAACACGACAGATTTCTCTACATAGCATTTTGCATACGACCAGACAGGATTCTGTCATCTTTCATGAATACTTTTTCCGAATTTCTGAAGATGAAATAATTCTTTATGTTTCCTGATTAGTGGCCCTTTTTGATACAATTCTCTGTGTTAAGGTTATTGCACTTATTCAATGATGCAAAACAGAAGGCTAGTAGTACTTATACATCTGAATGGTTTATCTGTTTACCAAATCTCCATGGTGATTCTTTGTCTGAAAGGTCAAGAGGTGGTGTTCAAGTGCCTTGGAGAGGGAATACTTGATAATGCATTCCAGGGATATAATGCCTGCATATTTGCCTATGGACAGACAGGTAACTGAAAATCCAGATGGAAACCACATTCAATCACTTAATTTTTTGTTGTTGCTTAATCCATTACTTTATGCAGTCTCATAAGCATGTGTAACTAATATATGTGGGTCAGGTTTACTCCAGATGTGTCTGCAGAAGGTTTTTAAGCACAGGAAGACTTGTATTATAATCACACTGTTGAATCCCTTAACTCATATCCTTCCTTCACCCGGGATCAAATGAGCTACTTCATCCCACTTCCAGTCTTAGAGTAAAACATGTGGTCACTCTTGGAGAGAAGAGCACACATATTTCAATGGCCCTCTGACACCTGATGTATGAAATTCCCATCAGCCTCTGATGAGTTATGTATTTTTGGCTAAATAGCAGATCAAGCTATAACGCTTTACTAAGATCGTGACCTTGATAAACATTATTCCTGCTAAACGTGTTAGCATAAGTTTGTTAGCATGTCGATGTTAGCCTTTAGCTCAAAGCATAGCTGTGCCTAAGTAAAGCTTCAAAGAACTGCTAGCATGGCTGTCGACCTTTTGTTTTGTCACAACATGTAGAGACTTTTGTTTATTTCATGATCAGGATGCTTAAAGTTTTACTGTTAATGAAGTACTCTATAGACGTTTTCTGTATTGGATAGTGACTCTGCGGTATCTACTCAGGTTCAGGCAAGTCCTTCTCCATGATGGGGAATGGGGAGCAGCCGGGTTTAATCCCTCGACTCTGCTGCTCGCTGTTTGAGAGGATCCACAAGGTGGAGAACGAGGGCCATACTTTTAAGGTGGAGGTGTCCTACATGGAGATATACAACGAGAAGGTCCGTGACCTCCTCGATCCTAAAGGGTGAGTCTGATTTCTGGCACATGTGACCTGTTTAACCTCGCTGAATGGAATCTGCTAATGCATTGGTGAGGCTTGTGACCTTGTGTGACACAGACACAGCAGCAGTGACCTCTCCGTCAGCTCCCACTTTGTTGTAGTTTTGCATCTCTGTTTATAGCTCTGTAGTGTCTAGTAGCCTGAATGGCGGATGGCGACAGAATGATGTGAGTAGGAAGCTCAACCCAATCATTTCCTGCAGGACAGCATCGTCCTCTGACTCGGCTGCATTCTTCGCCTCCGTGGTCTGGTGTGGGTTGGCAGACAGACTGCATGGGAGAGTGAACTGTGAACGTGTGTGTTTCAGGGACATCTGTTAGTGGAGCCCTACAGAGGCTCTACAGTGGAGCTCTCCGTGCGCTGCAGATGTCTGAAGATGCAGCCAAAGCCATTACAATAGCTGCTTCCTCCCGCTGATACAACACGCCTCTCACTTTCTTGTTCTCCCTCTTTGTCTTTCTGCCTCTCTGATGTTCAGGGTTAAACATTGGACATGTGATATTAAGTGTCAACAGGATCTCTGTCACACCCTATAAGTTGGCCATGGCCATTTTCTAGTGTTTTATCCTCCTCTTTGCTGCATTGGGCGGTAGATAACTACAGTGTAAGGGATGAACCTGGTTCTTTGGCTGCAACAATTTAGTGACTCTTACAGATCTATAGGTTTTATTCTAAACCCCTAGTACGCAGCCAGGTGAAGATGAGCTTCAATTGACACACCTGCACCATCAAAGAAACCACCTCTTACACTTAGTTTACCTTTTACACACAGAAAATATGTACTGCGTGATGTGTTCCTTTATGACAATAAACTCCCACACATACTATCCTATCCCTGAATAAACATCAGATTGCCTAACCAACAGCTGGAAAAGGTGCCAGACAAATACAATATACTGATGTTTAATAATACTGTCTAAGCTGTTTAAAAAAAGTACCATTTGTCTTTTTTCAAAATTGTATATGTTTTTGAATCATGTATTTGAGAATGTTTTAAAAATACACATCTTTTGTAAGAAACAATGGATTTAGAACTGGGATAAGTGAGATTGTGAAGAGAGGGATAACTCTTTTTTTGTGTTGGCCTTAGCCAGTCTCGCAATTCATAAACTTTTTCATCAATGATTTCTTTCATGTGTCATCTTGGCATTACACTCCCATTAACATTTGATTGCAGTTGTAGTGCATGTTGATGAGGAGCTAATTGTTTCAATACTGCAATAACATGCGAGCCATTCCATTTCAACAAGTTGTAACAAATGCAACTGAGATATGTATTGAAGTGATTCAGAAACGCCATTGTTGTTTCCAAACACAAATATGAGGCTGTGTCTTATTTCCCAGAAAGTTACTTTTGTACTTGATACACAAGTTTTATCCATTCTGATTACGGACTCAAGGTTAAAGGAGATAATTGTAGCTTCTCCATAGATGGAATGTGTTGAGCTGCTAAGCAGTGTTACATAAACTTGGTGAAGTGAGAAGTGTGCATTATAAATCACTATTTCTTATTCCTTTATGTATGGAATAAGTTCTTATTAGAAATGATCATTATTCCTCCCTTATTTTACTAATTGCATTACTTTCCCTATTTTTGAAGGGGCCGACATTCCCTTAAGGTCCGGGAACACAAAGTCCTGGGGCCGTATGTGGATGGCTTGTCTCAGCTGGCTGTGAGCAACTTTGAGGTGTGTCTTTCACCTTTCTGTCAACGCACTGAACAGAGGAGGAGCTGAATCAATCCAGTATCACTGACCACATGCCTCATATTTCACATTCCCATGATTCATAGCATCCAGCAGAAACCCCTGTAAATCATCTGTTGGGAATTTGCATTCGTTTCACATCCTCCCAAGTGCAGACATGTCCTGAAGTGGGATGTAGTCATGTTTTTTTGGTGATTTATATGCCAACCCTTGGAAGGGTCCTTAATTAAGTTTTAACATCTCCACCCTGTTCTTCTTTGTCTGACTGATATTATTGCCATGGTTTTCCCACAGCCTTGGCTCACTGCCTTTTGTAACCCAGCTACATCACATACAACACAGCCATATGTGAATATCAGCTGACGTTACTGTTCTCATTATGATCAGTGTTCAAGCTTTACCTAAATCTAGTTAGAAAATGTTTTCATATTGTTGTTTTTTTCCCATTTTCCTAACACACATTGTCTTTTATGACCTCGATCTCTTATAGGACATTGAGGTGTTAATGTCAGAGGGGAACAAATCCCGCACAGTTGCAGCCACCAACATGAACGAGGAGAGCAGTCGGTCACATGGCGTCTTCAGTATCATTGTAACACAAACACTTCTTGATCTACGGTCTGGGGTCAGTGCTTTCTTGATTTTCACCTACTTTCCCTATTAATTAACCTTATATTTACTAAAAAACAATTACCTCCACTGTGTTTATCCTATTTGTCTTATCGTGGTTCTGACTATTTGTTCATGTTGTGATGGTTAACAGAATTCAGGGGAGAAAGTGAGCAAGCTGAGTTTGGTCGACCTGGCAGGAAGTGAGCGAGTGTCCAAGACTGGAGCTGCTGGGGAGAGACTCAAAGAGGGCAGCAATATTAACAAGTGGGTCTATGTTTTTTAATGAACGACATACAAATGTTTGATGTCCAGTTGACAGTTTAACGCTGATGTTTCTGTGTGTGTTTCTAGGTCCCTTACCACGTTAGGCTGTGTGATCTCTGCTCTGGCGGATCAGTCTGCAGGGAAGGGGAAGGCCAAGTTTGTGCCGTACAGAGACTCCGTCCTCACTTGGCTACTGAAGGTTCGACCCACAAATTACACTTATTATTATAAATGTGTTCTGTTTTGGTCATTGTGTGGTTGTTCTAGGTTTGCTTAAATGTGACTGAAAGAAAGTGGTAGAAGAAGTATTCGAAGCCTTCACTTAGTAAAAGTAGTAATACCACAATAATATTATAAAAATACTACAAGGTAAAGACCTTCATTCAAATGTATACAAAAACAGTATTAGTAGTATTAGGGGACTGAAAAATAATATAGGTTGATCTTGATGTGAAGCCTTAATTAACAAAATAACAAATAACTTCAGATGCCAAATTTTTTTAAAGTACTATTATTCCCTCAGAGGTTTAGTGTAGTATGAGGATAAGGTAGAATCAAATCAAAAATAACCTCATTAAAGGTGGGGTAGGTAATTCACTTCAGAAACTCTTTTTGTTATATTAACATCCCGATAGCAATGAATATATTAAAATCTTTGACAATAAATACAAAAATGTCATCTGTGGAAGCCGTAGTACTGTAAAAAGCACGACCAATCATCTGAGCCGGCCCGGCTAAAATAACTGGATGGCCTACCTGCCTGTCAGCCTTCCATCTGTGCACAAACTTATCTCGTGCCCTCATTGGTCATGTGCACGTTCGTGTGTGTTGGAGGAGGGGCTCTGTAAGGAAGTGGCAGATTTTCTTCAGCTGCGTACTTTCAAATTCTAGCGCACTCGAGCTGGTTTCTCCATTCTTACCTACCCTACCTTTAAGTACTAGTACATTCAAATTGTATTATAACCGTACATTAAATTCACTCAGTTATTTTAATCCTCTGCTCTTGAAAGGTGACAAAAAAAATTGTTTTGGTGTTTTGTTCATTTGTCCTTTACCATCTTTATATCTGGACTGAAAGGAAACATTTAGCAGCTATATCTTCTTTAAACAAGTTTCCTTGTCTCCAGGATAACCTAGGCGGAAACAGCAAGACAGCCATGATAGCCACAGTGAGTCCATCAGCCGATAACTACGAGGAGACGCTGTCCACACTACGCTATGCCGACAGAGCCAAGAGAATCGTCAACCATGCCGTCGTGAACGAAGACCCCAACGCTCGGATCATCAGAGAGCTCAGGGAGGAGGTGGAGAAGCTCAAAGTTCAACTCTCTCAGGCCGAGGTGAGCGGAGGGAGTGGGTGAACCACAGAGGCTCACAAATTATATAAATAATGAATGGCAGACATGTCATAAATCAGACCAGGTAGCACTGATGCTGATTTTTTTCCCCCATTTCTCCCATCAGTCATTGAAGGCCCCTGAGCTGAAGGAGAAACTGCACGAGTCTGAGAAACTCATTCTGGATATGACTGTCACCTGGGAGGAGAAACTAAGAAAGACAGAGGAGATTGCCACTGTATGCACATCACTCATAATGAGACTGCAAAACTACAAATCTATTTCATATTTATACGTGCAGTTACACCGTTATTATCTTTGTTTAGGAGCGTCAAAAGCAGCTGGAGAGCATGGGCATCTCTCTGGAAACATCAGGGATTAAAGTGGGGGAAGACAAGTGTTTCCTGGTCAACCTGAATGCAGATCCTGCCCTCAATGAGCTGCTGGTCTACTACCTGAAGGTACACGGCTTCTACAATGTGATAATGCAAAACCAGTCGCAAAACGAGACTAAACAGCATTAAAATGTATACATATGTTTTGGTTTACAAAATCCAGGGTGATCAAACAGGAAATTAGATTCTAGGGACTTTTCAGTGTGAACATACCGGTCTGTATTAAATGTATGTGGTTAGATTAATGCCTGAACCATTTTACTTTCAACATAAGGTGTTCTAAATGAAGGTCAATGCACAGCCCCAAAATGCAGATTCTTTTTTAGTGGCACTAATAAAATAAAAACATGTTTATACAGTGTATAGATTTGTAGACAATTGTATGTCTGAGCGCCATGAATGAATGGAATATCTTTGCGTCATATCTCCATGTTTGGCATATGCTGTAACTTTTTGTATATAATGGTCGGAAATTCACAAATCCCAAGCACCTCGTAATGGCTGAAGTCTGTACAGAAGCCAGGAAGTTCTTTTAATAACAGTCTCATTTTAGGGATTAGTCGTCTCAGCAGACATTTAGTCACTAACTCTCTGTGGTATTACTGCATATTGTTAGCAACACAGACCTACCACCGTGGTAATATGAAAGCAGCACATATGCCGTAGTGATCCAGATGAAGCTTTGAAGGCAGACTTTACAAAAAAGCACTCTGTCTAACAACCGCCTGGCTATAGTTGGACCTGTAGCAGTGGAGGCATGTGAGGAAGCAGCCGGCGAACAGAACAACAGGCCTTTGTCTGGGTTCTGCAGCCTGGCATATCAGTGTGGAATGACTACGGTAATGTGAAATGGGTTAGTCCACTGCAGGGTTGGACATCCTCTAGAAGCCTGGATGTTTGTTTAGCAACGCCCACACTGCAATGAGAGAGACACAAGTTCTTTCACTTAGGCTTGTGTTTTTATCTTGAATTAACTTTATTGTTTTGCAAATGACAATATTCAAAGTGGTTCAAAAAACAACATTTTGCAGGTTATAAACTGAAAGTTGGAACAAGATTGTTGGTGTAATTATTTTCAGATGTGTCATTATTAAAGTGTTTTCAATCTGTCCTGCACCTGTGTGTAGGAGCACACGCGTGTGGGCGCAGACACGTCTCAGGACATCCAGCTCTTCGGTATCGGTATCCAGCCGGAGCACTGTGTCCTGGAGCTCTGCCCGGACGGTGATGTCACCCTGACCCCCATTGGGAATGCCAGGTGAGCTACTATACAACCAGCTTCAATATACTCTCCCTATCTCTGTGAATCTCTCTGTTGTCTCTCCTTCATGGATGACAGGACCGCAGTGTTTCACATGATCTCACTGTAAAGGAATTTATGATCTGAACTCCTCGCTTTGATATCAGAGCCACGTGCCCCTCCCACTGCAAAACGATTGTTCCTTCTCAATCAGTATTTCTCATTTAAGGTTAAAACAGCGGGGAGACAGGGCCTTTTCTGTAGCAGCTCCCAGGCTGTGGAACGATCTGCCCCCCCTGATCAGACTTGCTCCCACTTTGCCTGTTTTTAGATCTCGTTTAAAGACCTACTTGTTCTCCCGTGCTTTTGCAGACCACGTATAAGACGTATCAGTCTGTGTTTCTAAATTGGG